AATGTAGTTTCTTAATATGATTTCTTATATCTTAAGTTAATTTTTAAACATATAGACTGTTGCATGATTTTCTAGTTAAAATTGTTCATGCTTTTGCTTCAAACTGAAATTATCTTAAGTATTATGCATAAAATTTTTTATACTTGAAGATGCCTAGATTACCTGAAAGATCAGAGATTTTTCTTCATTAACATAGATTTATTTCATTATTACTTAATCATAAGATATTTTATTTAAATGTCTCTACTATTGGGGATCGTATTCCAGTATAATACTGATCGCTTGAAATTTTTTCATTCTATTTCTAAAAATCTTGTATTTTCTTATAAATATATTTTTAGGTAGGAAAAAAAAATAGGAAGCTATCTGTTGTCAAACTTGTTTATATTCATGCAATAAAGCAACTTTTGAGGTTTTCACTTGCTCCCATATTTTTTAAGCACATGAACTAAGTTTAAGATACTTCCTTATTGTCTATTTATGCAAAATTAGCTTTAAAAATAACTGTTATAACAAGCTTATCAATCTATACAAACATTAAATTATAGTACTGTGAAGAAATAATATTAAAGAAATAGTCTTAGTTAAGGTGTCTTCTTACAAATTGTTGATTATTAATTCATTTATAGTCTGAAATATTTGGCTATCTGGCGAGTGGAAAATTCTCCTCCTGGCAGCTCACTTTTTTTTTTACATTAATGGTATCGTTTAATATCATTGATTGTATCTTGTACTAGATTTTTTTAATTCTGAAGTGTTTTTAGAATGTATTGACTTTTTTATTTTTTAATTCACTTTTGTTTTTCAATTTTGAAGCTTACATTTGAATAAAGTAATTTAAGCAGTTTTAAAATATTTTATCTCTGTTTCAGACATAAATTTTTTTTTGTTTTTTTTGTTTGTTTGACTTATTTATTTTAAATGTGAATCAATGAATACAATTATAAACACTGAAACTTATTCCAATTTTTTATTAAGATGATATTTGGAATTTTTTTCATTTGGATGCTTCCTTAAATTTAAGATACTCTCTTTTTCTTGTTGCATTTTACTGTATTTTCTATGTCTAGTCATTTAAAATCACCTTTTGCACTTAACATACCATACTAGATAAATGTTGCGGTATCCCACTCGTTTCACATATCGCAACTATATTATGCATATACGTTGTAATATTATGTTAATATACATTGAAATAGAAAAACTGCTTACCAGTAGGCAATTTTAATATTCTGTATCTTTGAACTTATATTTATATGTTTATAATATTTCTATGTTTGTTATGTTTTGGATATTTTGCAAATTTAGTAAAATGGTGTAATACTTGTTCTCTTTTTTTTTTTTTCGTGACTTTGAACAATTTTTTCTCTGTACTTCCTAACCTGTTCGTTTTTTTTCCTTTCTTTTCTATATTTTATCAAAGAAAGGAATACTCCTATGAATTATAATTTTTTGATTTCAAAAAAAGTATTTGTAAATTTTGAATTCATAACTGATGATAAAAACAAAATATGCTTCCAGTTAAATAAAAATAATTATATTTTATTAGTTAATATCTTCAATATGGAAGTGAATGCTAAATGCCTCATAAGATAATTTGAATAACAAATATACACAATGAATTAATTGTGTTAATTATTTTTTGCTTTAAATAAATAAAATGGGTAGCGAAATTTAGTAAGAGAAATTGCAACTCACTTAGTGTATAATGAAAAAATGAATGAAGTCCAACATAGTAAAACAGAACATGAAATTAGCTTGCTGAAGTGGGATATTCAGCCTTTCATCCCTTCAGTGGGTCGATAAAATGAGTACCAAGCATGCTTGGGAACNTTGCAGAAGTGGGATATGCTTATAAGTAAAAGGGAAAATATGAGGAAAATAAGTGAAAGTAAATTATAATGTAAAATAAACAATTGTGTCAGATATAAGTTGGGTGTGAAAATTATTATTCATTAACGAAAGAAATATTCAATATTTATAAAATTTAAATAGATTAAAGCAATGAGCTATAGTACCTTGCTTTAAACTGAAAAATTAAGTTCTGATATTATTTACTCAGAACAAAAAAAAAAAAAAAAAAATTCATTTTGGTGTCAGACTTAAAATATCTTAAGTGTCTTAGGAGAATTCTTGTAAAAATTAAAAATGTGCTGTAATTCTAGATACAGGACCTGTCTTTATGTAGTTTACTTCAATAATCATTAACTTCACTTCTCAATAGTAATATGAATTAATAAATAGAAAAGAAACTGAATTTTTTTTCAAAGTCAATGTGACTAAAAATTTAGATGTCATTGCCCTTCATTCAACAGCCTGTAAACTGATTGAAAAAAAATGTGTCAAGTAAAGAGTTAATATTTCTCTATCTTCAGCTTTTTAAATCACATCTTGATTGTTACGAAATATTTTAAATTTTTCCTCATTTGGTTGACCTTACTGTAGAATTAGCTAGAAGAAAATTGTTTTGAACTTAGTTATAAAAAAGACTTATCTGTACACATTCCTATGAAAACTGCTGCGGTCTGTGCATTCGCTTTTAAAGCTTTCAACAATGATTTTGGATTTGTATTCTGTGTCTCAATATTAAAAGTGTTCATTTGGAGCATTTTGTAGCTTTTTGAAATTTAAAAATAAGTTATTATGCCTCATTGTTCAAAATTAAATTTAAGCCAAATCCATGTCAAATTATATGTTTTTGCCATTTAACGTTTTATTTTTTGCAGCAGCCTTGTGGAAAGCCTAAGAAAGGAAAACTTAATGAACAGCTAAAATATTGTAATGTAGTATTGAAAGAACTCTTTGCTAAGAAGCATGGGGTAAAGTAGTCTTTTGCTATTAATATTGTCGAATCCAAACTTATAATTGTTTCTATTTTGAACTCTGATTTTGCTTATGTTTGCACATGTGTCCATTCATTGTTTAGTATTGTAAGTACAGGATTCATAACATTCAATAAATAAATAAACTTTTCTATTTACCTGTATTTGTATGTCTCTATATTTACCTAATTCTGTAAGGAAAAGTATACATAGTTTGAATTTAGACTTAAATAAGGGGTTAGAAGGTTCACTATTTAACAAAGATAATGTTTTTCATTAAGTCTAATCACTTGCTAAATTTAAATTAATTGTTAGCTTGATCAAAATTAAGTATTAAGTGAACAAATTTTCTATGATTATGATATAAAAGTGTAACTTAATGAAAAATTAGGTAATGAAGTACCTCCTATAAATGTTTTCCTTTAAATATATTTCCAGATTTTTTTCTTGAAGATAGAAATTTATTTTTCTTTAAAGCATAAATAACTGCTAACAATCCATCGTGACGCTATCCAGAGAAAGATCCATTATTATTTGGCAACTTCTCAGAAATTCTAATTGCAGTTATAAAAGAATAAGTCAACCAATTATTTAGGAAATAAAGTTGAGAGGATTTTACCAAGGCAAGCCTTTGACTGACTTAAATATGGTTGCAAGTTAAAGAAAGAATTTGGTTTCTGATAGGATTCTTCTTTAATGAATATTTTAATTGGGAAAAGAATTAAAGGTTAAAAAATATGTCATGACCATATAGTTAAAACTAATTTCCTTGCTTGTGGGGTTTTAAAAAAACAATGATTAGAACATGTATTTTATGTTCCAACATTTCCTGTAAATTTAAGCAAAAGCACCTTTTATCTACAATTTTTTGTTGTATTTGTTTTAGAACAATTAGCATACACCTTGCAGCTGTATATTTGTTAAAATGAAACCAAATAGATAATTCTCAATAAATAATTTACTCTTTTAAACTTTATTCTTTTTTTTCCTCAAAAAAGAATCTGGGTAAAAAATCTCCTTTTGTTACCCAATTTGTGTTATTTTTTTACCAGAAACGGTACATAGAGAGGTACAGTCATTCTAATTTTTTCATTTGTTTATTAATCGGGTAATCTAAAAAATAAGTGTCATTTTCCCCCACAGAATTTGTTAGCTCAAATGTATGTATTCTTTCTGTTTTGCCTTTGCCTAGAAAAAAGAATTTATGTGATACTTGTTCAGTAAGAGTTAAAAGCAGTCTGGTAGATCATTTGATGCGAAAAATATCAGAGCTTTTTAAGTTCAGACAAATTAGCAAAGTGTATGGATCAAATGCCATGAGTGTTTCCATAAAGTGTACATGTGAACTAACTTATTGGGTGCCAATTTCCATTACCTACCTTAATGCCCTCTGAAATCCTTTCTTGCTGGCAAATAATTTGCAGGTCAGATTGTTGCAACCACAGGTTACTCAGTTGTTACAATCATAGGTGACTTAGTTTTGTGATGAAATCGCCTTAGTTCTGTGATAATGGTCTAATTAATGTTGTCTATGTCAAAAAATAGTATGACCCTTTGTTCATTATTAAATAGTTTTAAATTTTTGTTTCACTTATTTGCTTTGCTAAATGAAACTTACTTTCTATTATAGATTACCTATATGTATATAATATTTAAAAAAGAATGTATATAATTAAAAATAATAATAATAAAAGAACAAGGTCTTTATCATGATTTTATTTTAAATCTTAGGGCTATGCATGGCCATTTTACAAACCAGTTGATGCAAAACTTCTGGATCTACCAGATTATCATGAAGTTATTAAACATCCAATGGATCTAGGTACTATCAAGGTAAGATGAATAGTTTTTTTCAGGGAATTTTTTTTTTTTTTTTGAAGTTTGATTACATTTACTGTTAAGTATATTTAATGGAGAAAAAAATTAATTTATAAATTTTTTTCCTTCTGTATTATGCATTCTTTTAGGTTTAATAAAATCTAATTTGATATGGACTGATTTTAGTTACTTGTACCCTTGCTGAATTGCATTATATGTAGGGTTGCTACACTACCTGGAAAATCAGAAAAAATCAGAGAATTAAACATTTTTAAGCCAAGTGCCCAATTCTATAAAAGTCAGGGAGTTATGATTTGGTGATCGCCAAACATGTGATCTTTAGGTTAGCATTTCTCTTAAAACAA